TTTGTGTTGAGTATATACTGTAATTAGGTGTACTGTTTCATCAATGCCCAATGTCTGATTCTAATTAATTGACCGAAGTTCATGTTAAATTTTATTTTGTATTTTTTAATACACTCTAACATATTCATAATATATGTTTAACAATTATATCAATTTTGATTGCAATGAGATTCGAACCTAAGACCTTTTATATAAAAATCAGTGAATAAATTAACAATAATAAATATTTAACAGAATATTTCGTTAATAAAGTTTACAATGATGGATTGCAGGGATATTTAGAATAATATATATTATTATTCTAAATATCTATAGAATAATATATATTATTATTCTAAATATCTATAATATTTAGAATAATATATATGATATAATATAGGGTAAAAACTTTATTGGCTTTTATTAGGTTCATAGATGCATGGTAGATGTAAATTTGTAGATGTAGATGTAGATGATTATATATTAATGTCGTAAATTAACATTTCTTTAAAATATATATATATATATATATATATATATATATATATATTATTATTATAGGTTATAGTTAAAGAAATTTGGTCGCGGCAACCAACCATTCCCAATGAACTTTCGATCTTACCACTCCCAAATAATTATATTATTCAGTTAATTTGTCAGCTAGCACTTGGCTTAATTTGCACTTTGACTACTACATATTCGATGGTTTAACACTTTAACATAGTACTAGTAAATGGGATTAAATATGTGAATTAAAAACTTAACAACAGCATAAATTCAAAAATAATTTGTGTTACGATGGAGCGAATTATGATTTTAGTATTAAAAGATTATAAATTTGATTTTTGTTTGACGATGGAGTGAATTATGATTTTGGTATTAAAAGATTATAATTTTTTTTTTCAATACATTTTTTTGCCGTTTTTTAAAATATATTATGTAAAATAATTAAGTAAAATTGCATTTGTCGAGAAAAAACAAAACTTATTTTTATGAGAAAATTGTAAAGAGTACGTAGGGAGGTAAGATTTTTGAAGGAATACATAATGAAGCACGCTGCCACGCTGGTATAGGAAAGATGGAAAGTTGAGGTTGGTAAAAGTGCCATGGTCGGATTTACCTTGTCATTTCCATTTGTCCCATGTTGATACTCCTCAATTTAATTAACATTTTCATCATTACATTTTCATTTTCATTTTTTTACCCCTTTAATTACTCCTCTACCATGTTTTATTGTTCCTAAAAAATTGAATCCTTAACCCCAATTCAACCCCACGCTCCGATCGGACAGAGCATTTTGGATGATGTAAATCATGGTAACTCAGTTCGAGACTTGAGGAATGTGTCACCGTACTTAATTATGAAAAGTAATACATGAAAGATATTGGATTGATTTTAGGAGTCGTTTTCCTTATAATTTAAAGGATTATTTTCTTTATGTTTGAGGATATCAATTGGTAGATAGATGAGTTGTATATATACCTTGAAAAAATAATGTGTAAACCATTCAAAACCTTTTCCAGTGTACTCTAAGCAATAACAACATTCTATTTTTCCAAATGCCCTTAACAATATACTTTGTCTCTGATTAGTGGTGTTGGCTAATCGTCCACTTCTTTGATCGTCAAACTAACGTAACATTGGTGCCACATCTGATAATTTAAACAAAAGGTTTTGTATATAGACTATTCATAATGGAATTGACTCTAATCTCAAATTAAATGATGTGTTTAATCTTAATTAAAAATTTAAGCTGACATATGTGTGTATATATAGACATAATTTATGTTACACGTATAAGATTTAAATGTGTAACTTTATTTAAGGGGAACCGAGCTTCTCGTATTGGTATTCATGCTCGTTGAATTGGTTAATGGAGATTGATGAAAAGGGAGATGGAGCAGGCCGGCGTGAAATCAAGGCCGCCCTAATTCCTGTCATTTACTTTGTTGTCTCCACTAAGATGGTCAGTGCCCAGTAATGGAAGTTTTAGAAACCCCATTTCTGAGACATCAAAATGTATTTCTGGAAATTTTTTATATTAATTAATGACAAAAAGTAGTGATCAAATGCATGCATGACAGCGCCACACTACAACTACTTCATTTCAGTATTTCTGACAACCTAAGAATACTACAAAACTTCATATATATCGGATCGCAGTCTAATGTTATCTCTGCTTTTTTCCATTCTATCCAAGGTTACAGCGGAGCAGGAGCTTCCACTGCCGCCTACTGCCTACATATATATATTTGTCTAATCATAACTTCAATAATGCATAACATCTCAAATTTATCAGATAATTAAATTAATATTTCAAATTTAATTCATATTAAAAACTGTCTATTGATCTTTTTGATTTGAACCAATCAGTTATATATATGAGTGAGCAATATAGTCTGACTTATGTTATTATAATTTTTTATCAATTAGAATCATAATGTAAACTTCATCTAGGTATAGTATATACATTCTCTCTAGGTAAATTAAATGGATAATGCATAACCTCATCTCCATCATTATTGAAGGGGAATAGATTTTTAATTATATATATTACGCCTAAGTTTTATTAAATGTTAGATTTTTGTCAGTAAAATTAAATTAAACAAATTTGCAAAAATACATCGGAAGTGGTTCGGCGATGAGTAGTGCATACGGGATTAAGGGATTTGATCAAAGTAAAAATCACTTGCTTGTTTTGGAACTTTTTTTAAAATTTAAACCCAAGGTTTGACACACTAACTAATTCTTTTGTTTTGGTACTATAATGATTATTAAAGCTTACTTAGAAATGATAATGTGAGTGTCGATTTGGGATTAATCCAGGCTAATAAGTATAGGTCACATGGTATAGTATTTGGGTTGGAGCGACACATCCCGTACGTAGGGGCTATGAGAAATAGGCAAATCATGGTCCAGACAGTGTTGTGTGGACAATAATAAAAAATATATTTTTAATATACTAAATGTACATTATTTGTGTATTGAATGTACATTATAATAATATACACTCAGTACACAAATAGTGTATATCTCTTAAATACAATGTACATTTTTAATATACTAAAAGTACATTATTTTTGTATTGGATGTACATTATTTTACAGTATATAAAATATGATCCACACAATAATGATTGGCCAACAACTTCAAAAATTTCTCTTTCTCTCTTTATTTTACAACATTTATATTCTAGTCTAAAACAACCAAACCTAAAACTCTTTAAATTATGCTTAATATTTAAAAAGCGTTCACATTTTCCGCCGCTCAAAATTCTTTATAATAAGTTGTTCTAACTTAAGTTTATTTTAATTCTAAAATATTCAAATTGTAAAGAATTTTCAAAAATATATACAAGTCTATCCAACTCCTACCTTCCCCGACCCACTAGAATATAATTGTAACCCAATAACCCTTTCAGGACCTCCAATCAAGTCTAGGTCCATATTACTTTATATATATATATATATATATATATATATATATATATATTATAAAGACTTGTAGCTTAAAATTGTTACTCGTGACTTTACAATTGTACAAGTGGTTAGATTACCCACTGTCAATCCTATTGAGTTAGTATATTTTTAATTTTAAAGTATATATATATATATTTTTAAAATTTATAAATGAACACATAATATATAATTTAATACTTATATAAAATTAAAATTCTAAAAAGCTAAGCTAAGTATAAATTATAATTCATATATAAAGTTAAATAATTTTAAAAAGTTATTAATTAAAATCTTTTTAATAAATTATATTAAGTGAGTTTGGTCTAAGCCAATAGTCCACTTGACATCACTTTACTCAGAATTATTAGATAAATTGTTTTATTATTTTAGGGATATTTTAGTAGTTTTTTTTTTTTTTTTTTTTTTTGACATTTCTATGCTCATACTACTTTTGTTGATTGTAGTCCAAGTACAATGGTAAATAAGTTATGATTATCTATAATATGTTTGACTTTAAATTCTATTTTTTTTTTTTGAATGCTACTAGCTCTATTACATTGTAGTATCTGTAATACCTCCACTGAGGCTCGAACTCACAACCTTTCAAATGGAAGTCCAACCCGGGTACCATTGGACCACATACTTTAAATTCTATTTAATTTTACTTTCATTATGTTAGATTTAAATTTGCTATTAACCACCTAGCTTCTACTATAAGTCTATAATACCCTTTCGATTTACTTTGAACAAATTTGACCTACACTATAGTTAGACATACAAGATGAGGCCTCTCAACATGAATTGTCAACATCTTTAATTGCACTCTCTCGTTTAGAATGGTAACAATGATACCATCAAATTACAAGGTACCTTCCATTTAGAATTGTAATTTTTTTTTTTGGGTTTAAATTAAAAAATAAAAGTAAAAAAGATAAGATTGAAAATCACTAATTCAGAACCTTCCCAACTAAAGTTGTGTGCGAAGGTATTTTCGGGTGTCATTGTCTCATTGATAAAAAAGAATAAAATTTTTATCATGCAACTTTTTCAAAATTGAGCACTCATTATTGTATGATATTAGTCTTTTTTCTTCGACTTCAATTCATAAATATATCTAAAAAGAGCATTGAACGAGACAATAATTCTAACCAAGTTATTTGCGTTCTTGTCTTCATAATCACAAGGTTTCATGTTTGACTTCAACGAGACCAGTATATTAACTTTGTTGATTTAAATTGATCGATCAGTTATATGATCAATATAGACTGATTTACTTCCGTGTGATTCTTTATTGGGTAAAATCGCAAGGTAATGGTTATCCTATGCACACGACCCTCGGTTTAAAAAAAGAGCATTGGACACTAAATTTTTCCTGAAAGGGATGAATAAGCGGGTGAAGCATCACTCTCGTACCAGAATATTACGAATTCAATTCTTGCCAACACATTTGGTGTTCTTAATTAGTGCACACATAAGTAGTATTGCAAATTTTTCTCATTAAAAGGAGAAAAAAAAAAAAAAAAAAAAAAAAAAAAAGGCACTGGACAGATCAGAGAGGATTGATACTTGAAAGGAACGCAACATGGTAATGCTTATTTAGTAACCTCAGCTCATTACATGTCCACACATACAAACAATAATAATTGATGACATAAAGATAACCACTGCACCTTAGCTTACTTTCTCCTGTTGGGACCAACAGCGTGCAAGCAAGATTGAATTCTCCCTTTGGACATTAATGAAAAACACATTATGTTCCCATCACACACATTCCCTCCCACTGCGTAAGTACATTAAAATACATACAAACGCAAAGACAGACAAGAAAATTAAAGAGAAACAGGAAAAAGGTGAAATGGAGCTTTCATTTTTACACATACTTTTCTCAGCCCCTTCTGCAAATTAAACAGGTAGCGACAAATTGAAAAAGTTCATTGTGGCATGCATATATCAATTGTGGATGGCAACGCAAGAAACTATTGTGAAATAATTCAGCTGGACTTGAATGGGATTGCCCTGATTACCACTTGGTGGTATAGTGCTGCTAGTGCTGCCCCTACAAATGGTCCAACCCAGAATATCCACTGCACACACCACACTCAAATATGTTATAAAATGCCCTTCTTATTACCATCTATAAATAAAAAAATTAAAAATTTAAAGGCCAATTAAGACGACCATTGTCATTTGTTCTGGATAAAATTAGTGACAACCACTATCCGAGAGTGTGTAGAGAGTGAACGTACTCCACTTTGTGACCTTATATGGTACGAGAAGGTAAACAAGTTTAGGTTTTCCATTACTGACTAGCTCAATTCTGTCTTATGATCCTGACGGTCAAAGGATCATAAGTAAATGAGTTAAGGTTATTCATAGCTGACCAGTTCAAATCCGCTGTGTGACCCCAATCACCAAAGGATTGCAATAAGGTAAACCAGTTTAAGTTGTTCATAGTTAACTGGCTCAAATTAAGAAAATCAATAGATCGCTCCTACTAGAAGTCAAACTTGGAACCATATGATTATGAAACCAACTTGACTGGGGTTGTCTCAAAGTGTACCATATGCAAAAAGCACAAAGAAAACAGCAACAAAGTGGGGGAATGGAAACACTCACATGGTCATTCCATGCTTCATCCCTGTTGTAGATGATGGCTGCACCAAGGCTCCTAGCAGGGTTGATGCCAGTGCCAGTGATTGGGATAGTGGCCAAGTGCACCAAGAACACAGCGAACCCAATAGGCAAAGGTGCCAAAACCTAATCACAATCATAGTAATTATTACAAATTAAACCAATTACACTTCAATATGAGTATCCATGGATTAAATTAAATCTGGGTAAGTAGTTATAAGACTTACTGGGACATGAGAATCTCTAGCGTTGCGTTTGGCATCGGTGGCGGAGAAAACGGTGTAAACAAGAATGAAGGTGCCCACAATCTCGGCACCAAGGCCGTCACCCTTGGTGTAACCAGGGGCGACAACGTTGGCGCCGCCGCCCTTGCCGTTGTACACCGTCTTCCCGAAGCCTTTCACCACTCCGGCGCCGCAAATTGCCCCCAGACATTGCATCACCATGTAGAACACCGCCCTAGTCAACGACAACTTCCTCGCCAAGAACAACCCGAACGTCACCGCCGGATTTATGTGCCCCCCTACATACAAACATTCATAAACCATGCAAATTAAGTGAAGAAGATCTAATGTGATTGTAGGGTTCCGGCCTGATGAGCCAAATCCAGCATCCTGCCATTAAAATTACGCTGATTGGGAGCTAACTGCTTCCAAGTGTTGAGCATATAATATATATAAAAGTGCAATTCAACTATCAGCTTAGACTTTTAATTGAGATGGAGCACATGCTTCAATTTCAAGTATAAGTAAATAAAGTATTGTCTTGACTATAAATTATAATTTTAAAACGTTTGATCTTGATAATTGGTATCATACCTGAAATGCCAGCGGTGCAGTAAACGAGGGCGAAGATCATGCCGCCAAAAGCCCAGGCGATGCCCTGAATGCCGACGGTGGAGCATTTGGACTCCGACTTGACGACTCCCATGACGGTCAAAACGGTGATGTAGAGGAAAAGGAAGGTGGCCATAAACTCGGCGATTCCGGCACGGTAGAACGACCAAGACATCAACTCGCCTTCCTCGAACAGCGGCGCCGCCGGTGGCTCGCTGTAGTCCTTATCCTGCTGCGCCGCCGTGCCGATGGCTTGCCTCTCGGAGAACTTGTTAGCCCCCAAATTCACATCCTCCTCTCTGTGCTCCATTTTCTCCTCTCAAGTACCCAAACAAACTCGATCTCAATATGTTAGTATGTGAATGAATGAGTGAGTGAGTGAGTTCTTTGAGGGAGGAAGAAGGATGGTTATATACACATTCTTGGTGAACATTAATTAAGTTTAATAATGAATTATACGTTTAAGTAGTTCATTATCATGGTGGCCGCCGACCAGGAACGAATATATAATATGATGATGATTAGTTTTGGCTATGGCAATGAAGCTAATTAATGTTAGTGCTTATGAAAAATTCAATCCGTCTCAATGTGCATCCCTTTTTTTTTTTCCTTTATTTCATTCATGTTTCCAGTGAGATTCGAATCTCTACACGATCACATTCAGTCATGACATTAAGTTAAACAACAAACCACTAAGTTAAGTCCGGTGGGGTCTTTATACTCCATATTAGGTGTGATCTTCTGATTAATTTAAAAAACAAAATGAGTTACAGTTTTTGTTCATTTATTTTTCTTTATCCAATTAAATTTGTACATGTGACAGAAGTTATATTTAATGGAAATAGATAACTACATATATCATTTTGTTAATGTTAATGGTGTGTTAATGAAAGAGACGTCGGTTTTGGTCGTCCTAGCTGTTGGGACATGGATCCTTGCTGGCACAAGGAGGTCCATACAATTCTATAACGTTATCAATGTTGCTATTGTGTTTCTGATGATGTATAATTGTATAGTACTCTCCACCACCGCCCAACTTTGATTATGTGGTGGCGGTGGTGGTGGTGGAAATTTTGGACTTCAAATTTCGGCCATTGCCATTTTCAGGCTTTGTACATTTGTACCGAAAGGTTAAGTTATTTAAGAATACATTTTGTTGTAATGAAAAATCAAGATTTGTGGTTGGGAGCAAGAGAGGTTTGATTTTTCATAAAATAAGATCTCGAAATTAAATTTTGTAAATCAAATAATAGTGTTGAGTTTGAATGAATTACAACATGAAAATTGATCATTGAGACTCACCATGTGAGTGCTAGCGTGAGGCTCAGGGATCAGAATCTAATCAGTACACTCACGCTGGCACTACGTGAGTCTCATGATCAGAAACCAAAATGCGGATGAGCTCTTTCATATTACCTTCACGCTATCATTCTGCTCATTTTGTTTCTCTGTGTTTCCTCGGGTTCTTGCCTTATGCCCTAATTCCTCATTTTTTTGAAAATTAACCTCCGATCTTTTCATGCTTGCTTACACCATTACCCGATCTTTTCTTCCTTCCATAAAAAATACACCATATTGAGCATTATTCCACCTTCCTTTACCTACATTTGAGTCAAAAACAAACATAGATGAGCACAAATATATGCTATCATAAATAATCCAATTACTTATGCGCATCGTCATTTGGTCCTATCTGTTGAGTCATTGAGTTACCGTGATTTACATTCTCCCAAATATTCTGTCGAGTTGGGATGTGAGGGACCTTTGGAGTTGAGAATTCAACATTTTGGAAGAAGAAGAAAATCACACAAGAGGTTTATCAAGTAATTTTAAATTTAAGGGAAAATGACACTTTTTCCCCCTGAGTTATATACCTATAGCATTTTTTCCCCCTAAATTATTGAAGTGGCTGTTTTTCCCCCTGAAATGTTAAATGGACATATTTACCCTTAAACTAAATATTTAATTTATTTTTTTTCCAACAAATTATGACCATATTTTGGTTCAAACTAAACAAACACTATAGTAACCAAACCGAAATATTCCAATTACAATTTAGAATCGAAATTCGATATTTAGAGTTTATTAAAATCGTGAACCGGAACGGACGGTTCATGTTCCGAACTGAAAAAATAAAATACATTTATTGTTGAATTTAGACTATTTTAAAATAAAAAATAAAATTTTAAAATAAAGACGGTTCAAAATCGCGAATCAGATCCAGAACCACCGGTTCACGGTTCAAGATTCAATTTTTTTGATACATAATTTTAATAAATTGACATTTAAATATTGGGTTCTAGATCTGAATTATAACCGTAAATATTAATTCGATTACTTTAATATCCGATTCAATTCAAACCGAACCGTGGTCATCTCTACGTATACGCAATAATTTGTTGGAGTAATAAAATAAATAAAATATTTACTTTATGGGTATAAATGTCAATTTAATATATTAGGGGGAAAAGGCACCACTTTTAGAATAATTGAGGGGGCTAATGTGCTTACCTAAATAATTGAGGGGGGAAAAGTGCTATAAGTATATAACTCAGGGGTAAAAAGCGTCATTTTCCCTAAATTTAATATAAGCAAAGTTTAAGCAATTAAATAAAAGCTTCATCACTCTATTAATTATTGACAATTATTTTTTACATAAATTAAGACTTTCTTAATGACGGGCCAATAAACTAAATTATCATAGGACGGTGCCCGGTGGCAACAGAATACCTTATCTTTACTGTCGTGTTTTTTCTTTTCTTTTTTCTTTTTATTTTTTTTTCTTATGGATTTATAATTATCATTTGAGCAAATGATTGGTTTGGCCAATTAAGGATGGAATTTCCACACTGGAATATATATACATACGACAAATTACATATTTATAGTTTAATGAAGCATCGGATGTCTTCAATCACTGTACTGTTGGAGTAGTTGAATTGCTAGCTCACATAATTAATCATTTTTTTTAGGAATTAAGTAAACATATTTCATGAATTATTAGCTATGATAAGAAAACCACAGAACTGACGGAAATACAATCATCACAATATTGTCATCTTGACGGATTGCGCAGTTCTTGTGGATAGTTTTCGAGGCAGCAGGTCTTATCGTTCGTATCTTGGCATTGTTTTAGATTCATGTTTGCGTTTGTTTAATTCATTCCCAGTTCATTCAATTCAGTTTGTTCGCAGAGGCACCAATTTGGTAGCTCATGCCTTAGCTAAACATGTAAGGGCGGTTCACGAACGTTCAGTATGGACCGAGTCCCTACCATCTTTTATTCCTTTCGAGTTAAGTTAATGCAATATATGAAGTTTTTGGCTTTCAAAAAAGAAAACCACAGAACTATTTAGTATATATTCTCTGCTTTTTTATTAGTTATTTTATACCGATAAATGGTTAGTGTTTTATTAAGTATATAACTCACTTGTATATTCAAATAAACTCGACCACATATAAATATATAATCGCTCTATTTGGTAAAATAGTTCAGCCAATTTTGACTTGTTAGTTTGACCACGCTTAACTGTTTGACTTGGTTAAACAATCAATATAAGTGTTTGGTTAATCATCTTTTTCTAACAGCTTATTACTCTAAAAAGTTACAATTCAAAACGTTGTTCAAAGCAGTTTTTTCGATAAACTTTTAATAAAATTATTTGAATGTAATCAGCAATCGGCTAACAACTAATTACCAAACATCTTTCTACAATCAATCAATGCTATCAACTAGTCAAACTCCCTAACCCAATCAGCTAACAGCTATTTACCAAACCCACCATTAATATATATAAGTTAAAATATTATAGTATGAAACCGCTGGATTGTTTGCACGGAGGTGCTAGAGCAAATGAGCAATTCAATTGAATGAGAAGTTGACAATTTTGACATACATAATCATAAAACTTGGGTAAAACGCAAAGACAAATATATGTAACAGTGAGTACGTGGCAGGCAGAATCATATCATCACCATTTACAGTTTCTACTCTAAGCCCAGAGACTTCTGCACGCCATATCCTTTTAGTCCACATTTTCCACATTCTTTTAGTAATGGGAATACAAGGTACAGCAATCATGTTTACTATGACTTTAATGAGTCTCAATTTGAAATATGATCGAGTGTACATTTTTTAAAAATTATTTGTTTTTAGCGTTGTAAATAAGTTAATTATATTGATTAAAAGTTATGAAAAGAAATAATTAATACAAAATTGTTTACAATTTACAAAAGCACTTATAACCATTGATGGTAATTTACAACAGCTTGTTCAACACACTTTTCATTTAAAGAAAATCTAGGATTACCTAGCCAGAAAAGGACCAAATTAGATAAATCAATTTAAATTGTTCACAACTGACCAACTTAAACAAAAAAAATAAAAACTAATAAACAACTCCCACAAAGAGTCAAACTTAAATCCTTGTGGTTACCAAGCCAATCATTCGACCAACTTGTGAGATTATTCAACACATACTCCAAGTATAGAATGATAATGCTACAAATTTTATCAATTTTTAGATAGTTTTTCTACTTCAATCTAATCACTATAGACTCACCTTTTTTTAACTTTGTGCTAGTTACACCATGCTCAGAGCAGCATGAATTCTTGACAAGTGCACTATGAGCTGAGGTTGCTGGTGGTGATCTTCACTCTTCAGTGCTCTGTTGTGTCAAGAATTTAAAGTCTTGATATTATCACAAGACGAATTCGTACGAGAGCAGCTCTCCTCGCCGCCATTGCTCCATAGGAAATTGGCATACCGGGCTGCATAATATGGACTCCCAGGCTCAACAACTATCGCCTGTCGGTACATTTCTTCTGCCTCGCTCAAATCCTTCCTTACTGTCCACAAAAACGTCGCATACTGGCTGAGGACTTCAGCGTCGGGAGGCTCCACTTCCATGCCCCGTTTGAAACACTCCTCTGCCCTGTTAACATCCACCGTTAACAACCAAGCAATGTTGCACACTAATCGGTTGAGAACATAAAAATTTAACCATTCTGAATTGTCGAATTAAATGCACAAAAAATTGGAGAAACTGAGAAGTGGTTAAACATGAGTGTGTAACAGTAGAGTGTACTGTGAGTTACCTATCGTAATCCTGTGCAACAAGATGCAGAAACTGGGCGTAATTGCATAGTAGAAGCGTGTTATAAGGATCCTGAGACAGCATCAATTGGTAGAGAAAATCCATTTTGAAGTAGTCCACAAAGTGATCCGGTTCAATATCGGCTGAAAATGGTGAAACAAACATCTGCGTTACTTCACGATCAAGTCCCGCCTCCTCGAGACCTCGCATCTTTGCCACTTCGTCGACAATGGAGTTCCATAACTGTATGTCGGTTTCGTTCCTAAGTTCTTGATCAGCAAAAGCTGATGACTCCTCGGGAACCACATCGAGGTTTTTATTCAATCTGGAAACGGACTCGGCCTCCGCGATTTCGCAAGCACGCACTGATCCCAGTAATGAAGCATCAGCAACGGGAATGTTGAGGGATGTGGAATGTACACTGAAATTCGCTAAAAGGATCATAAGGTAAATCATTAATGCCGGTGTTCGTGAGAACACTTTCTGGAAGAGCCAAACGTACGAAGCACACATTTCTCGTTGAACTTTGGCAACAATCGCCTCCAAATCCTCATCGCACAACACCTCCCTCATCTGCAACGCATAGGTTTGCAGCTGCACAATGATGGACACCATCGAAGAGAAGGCCTTTTTCACCGAACAAGCAGCCGACTCCCCAAAATCCCTCACGCCCATCTCCCATTGCAGCTTCTTCTTTAGCATTCTCAAAGACAATGGAAGCCCAAAACTCTTAGCTTTCTGTTCAACATTCTCCCACATAATCAACTGCCTTTCAGGCCAATTTGGAGGGTCTGGATTAATTCCCAGCATCCCAGGCTCCAAGGGATCAAAATGCGAAGGAAATTTTGAATCTTTATTTCTACTACTTAAACCTAGACTCTTCTCATGTATTACACAACACCCTTTATCCTCTGCTAGCTCTATCTTTTCAGCTAATCTGTCCCTAAATTCAAACCCCTCTTCCCCAAAAACTCCATTAACATTTACACAACAAATTCTCTTAATTGCATCACCTCTCTGGAAACGTAACCTCAAGAAAGTTCTTGCTCTAACAGGATGGAGAGACACAGGTCCACAGACAATTTTGTAATCCATTTCACTATGATTTTTCGAGGAAAATGAGGTGGGTACTAAGGAACCGGAGATTTGGGGCATAACAACATAAGGACATTGCAAGAAGGGCGAGACAATTTTAAGCTTCATGTTTGCTTATACAAATTACAACCACAAAACAGAATACCAAAACAGGCAAAAGGCAGAAGCTGATGGTTTATATGCAGGAAAATGGTAAGCAGATTGAATTTGAAAGGGACATAGAAAGAGAAAAAAGAGACAGAAAGCCCGCTAAAAGGGGGCTTTATGTTTTCATATCAACCGAATCCTAAAAATAGCACAATCAACCTTAATCCAAGCCAAGAAAGCCCACTATGATTCATTTAACGATGTTCCAATTCTAGTTTCACGAGAAAACACAAATCTGTAGTAGGCAAAGAAGCAAACACCTGTCCGGCAACACATATTTATTAAAGACGAGGTAAAGTCTTCGCCTTTCCTGACCCAAAACGAAACCGGCGTCTGGGTATTCAACAACTGTTGAGAAAAGGCATTAAAAAACAGAAAAAAAAAAACTACCGGATTTCTTGAGCTGGCTGAGCAGTCGTGGGAGATGTTCGAAGCCAAAGACTAGGGTTTCTTCGAACAGTATGCAGAGAACGTAAAGATGGTATCTTTGCTCTTAGGCGTGGGATTTCCGGATTGTGTCGGGTTTGTTTGCAAATGAAAGGGGAAGGAATTTTAATGAAGGTGGAGTTTCATATTGGAGTTGCATGTGAGCTGGGGTGGTGACCTGCATGCCCACCACTTGGCAGCCTCTCCCTCTTTCTCGCTCGCTCAGTCCACCGCGATGTCGGTTGTGTAGTGTGCTATTTGGTCACGACTCGGTTCGGATGGAAGAGGGCCAAAACTTTCCGGATAAGATCGACATGGATATATATAGAAAGGGAGGGCAACAAATCATTTCGGAAATTGTCAACTCCAGGTCGCGCTACTGTTTCTCCATAGTTTAATAATGGAAAAATGGTCAAATAAGTCCTCAAACTTTACCAGGACTATGTGGTCCAATGGTACCTGGGTTGGACTTCCATTTGGAAGATTATGAGTTCAAGCCTCAGCGGAGGCGTTATTAGTTCTTTGTGTTTCAGTAGGTTGAGAAAGTATATGAACAGATACTACAATGTAATAGAGCCAGTAATTTTCAAAAAAAAAAAAAAGTCCTCAAACTTTAACTTAAAAGTCTATTAGACTCCTAAACTTTTTAAATGTGTAATTACACCCATCAACAATTCATTTAGGTGTAATGAAGCCCAAAAACAAATTAATTAATGACCTGTTCAGGTCACCTTCCGACGAAATTTTTGACAAAAAAAAAATGTCAGGTCACCTTCCGACGAAATTTTTGACAAAAAAAAAATGTGATCGACGACCTACTGGTGAAATTTCCGGAAAAAAAAAGTGATCGGTGACCAACGAATTGTCGCCGCCGGTCACTTTTATTGCCGGAAATTTCATATATATATATATACACACACATAAAAACTTTAGCGGGTCAAATTACTTTGTATTTTTTTTTAAAGTATCAAAATATTTTTATATTTAACGGCGTTTCAACGATTTTGTTGACAAAGAACCAAAAATGATTATGTCACAATAATACTAAGACCAAATAAGAATTTTTTGATAAAAATAACTAAATGTGAACTACTATCTATAAATGTATGACCGAAAATAAAATTAAGTCTTAGATGATATATCTAAATGTATACTTTATATTATTAAAAATTACTCCCTAATCTCTATAATGTTAAACTTTACCGTTTTAAAGTTTCAAAATGTTTACAGATTAAGTTATATACCATTCAAAATTAAAAATTCACTCTTGTATATGTTATAACGTCTTTTCCCTCCTCCTTTATATTGTAATGAGTCTTCTTCCCCTTCTGTAAGTTTTACTCAGATCAATACAACAATTCACCATTATTGTTCTCTCCACCTTACATGTAACTGTTTCCATCATGGTATCAGAACTCTCACGGTGGAGCACATATGTTGTCGCCGTCTCCGGCGAAACAAATCAAGATCAGAAGTCTCCGGCGAAACAAATCAAGAAGTTCACGCTACTCCTGCGACTCCTTTGATCAATTGATTGCCCATCCGCACAGCTTCTACAACGATTCCACAGAGGAATTCAAGTTTGCAGCATTAGATAAGCCATAACATGGGAGATGGAAAATCCACTTTTCCTCAACATGAATGAGAATGAAAGTCTGGGAGGACTTGAGGCGGAGATTAAATGCCATTAGTATTTTTTTTTTTTCAAATTGAGAACATGTCCTTATGTTAGCATGACCTTGTATACACACTACAATTGCTTTAATCTTTTTTATTTAGGATCAGGGAAACTCAATTTTCATAATTTTTAATATTTAACTATTTAAGAAAATGTAATTAACGTAAGTATTTATTTTGATTTAAAAATATATTTTGACAATTTCTTTTTTTAATATATATATATATATATATATATATATATATATATATATTTACTTGAAAAAACATTTTTCTGATGCTTATCTCAAAAGGGGGCTTCTCACAAAGTGACGTTAGATGAGTTGATCAATATATCATATGCCCATTAGTCCTACTTCTACACCATCAAACTTGTAATTTACTCAACATTTTATCTACACTATTACAATAAGCTTTCGCTTTAACAAAGGGTCACACTTTCACATCGTTTTATTATAATATAATAACAAATCAATAAAAATAAAAATACAAAATACAAAAAATGTCGGATGCTACCATGCAGCAACCTTTTATAGGGTTTGAATTTGAAAACTTGCAAGTTATATTAATAAAAATAAAATAAAATAAAATAATTCACATAAGCTTGAAAGTTGAAAGTGATAAAAGTTCAAGAATGGCATTAGCCTTGCTATTTGAACTAAAATAAGTTTTCTCGATTAAAAATCAAATTAGGTTAGGCTCAACCAATTATTAAAAAATATTAACTTGGATGAGGCTGCAGCCTAAATTTTTAAGTTCTTTTTTTTTTTTTTTAATTGTGATATTACTTTTATCAATTTAAAATAATTAATATTTTATAATTAAATTCTTTATATATAATTTATATTTAATCATTTTAATGATTTTTTTTCGCTGATCAAGTTATATTTTAGATACACAAGGGTATTTTAGGTTTTTTGAATTGTGTACGGTGCGTCTTTCTTGCTGGTTGGGATCTTTCACCTCATACATCCTTGCCAAATTATCGCCGGTTGAGATGCAGAACTTTGATTACGAATTGCTTCCTTGAGAGAAACGATTGGCCATGAACTTCCTTGTCCTGATGGTTACCGCCTTGCCCGCCATGTTCTTTGTATTTTGACACTCCCTTTCTTTTTCTTTCCTTTATTTCTTTTCTGTTCTCTTTAATTTCATTTTCTTTATTCCTTTGCGTCTTCCTTTTGTTTTTTATTTTTCCATTTATTCGTTTTCCCATTGGGTTTTCTCATTCGTTTTCACTCGTCTGGGTTTTTTTATTGTTAATTAATAAATTGGTTCTTCTAAGATGAATCATTTGCTTGCATGCACATATTCGTTAACCTAAATGCACACAATCATTAACCTAAATGCACACAGTATTTCGTATACTTGTGTATGCACACATTCGTTAATCTAAGTGCACACAGTATTTCGTATATCAGTTTTTTTGAGTAACATGGCACAAACTCGTTAACCCAAGTGCACATATAGTTCTATATGAGTGCACACACACCACAATCCAAGTGCACACCAAAATGTTTAATATCTCTTTTCATACACAAATTAATTCTGCAAATTATGGCACACACAATGTAACACAAGAGCACACAGTTCAACCTAAGTGCACACCCTATTCTATCAACCCAAGTGCACACCCTATTCTATCAACCCAAGTGCACACCAACTTGTTATACGTCTTTTCACCACACACTCATTATTTACCTTATAGCACACACAATTTAACTCAAGTGCACCACATAGTCTTTAACATCAATCTGATTTTCGTGAATTCATCCTTTCAATATTTTTACACATTATGACACACACAACACAATCCAAGTGCACACGAATATATATGTAATGTTACGTTGGAATAATGCAACAATTGATATAATTAATATAAGATGACCTGTAAGATTTGAAGCTTCTTGTTTAAATCCAAATTCATAAACAAAATCCTAATTAAATCCAAACTCATAAACAATCATTCTTTATGTTGGCCGCCTAAAATCAAGGAAAATATCAGCATTAAATATTTCTTTTTTAATGGATGATGAATAAAATGACACCATTATCCCTTGTAATTAAATATGGTTAATTTGCTAATTAAATTGTAACTTGATCTTGATCATTAATTTTCAATTTTTGAATGGCTTAGATGAGTTCTTAAGTTCTTACCTAAGGATGAGTTCCTACTTGAATCCTTTATATATATATATATACACGGGGTTGAGTTCAAATGAGGACAACAATATATAGAGGACTGTGAGGACAAATAATGGGTACACAACAAATTAATACCAGACACAGAACTTAATACATAATGGCACAAAAGAATAAATGTAAACATCAGGTTCGAACCCAGGCTTTATAAATTAACAAATCTAGCACGCGACATACAAACTGTGGCACACGACTACAATCGGCCATGCACACGACATATCGGATAATGGCACACACTACATTTGTCCTCACAATCCTTTATAATATACTTGTCCTCATTTAAATACACATTTATACACACGTATGTATATTTATATATAATTTATTATCTTTCACACTAAAAGTAATTTTTTTTTCAAACGAAGATTTTAATAAATTTTAAATGAGGAATTGAGGATTGAGAGGAGACTAGAAGAGATCGCAAATTATGCTGTGCAACCGTGTGCACCATGTATACAGTTGCAAAATCGACGTCGTTTTGACTAAAAACGCGAGTCTCACTTTTTTTTTTAAAAAAAATCAGGTTCAATTCCGGACAATAGCATTTTTTTGTGCATAATTTGAATTATATATCCGCAAATTCATAATTATATATCCACAAGTTTATAACTATATATCCACAAATTCATAACTATATATCCACAATGAATGAATAACACAAAATTCAGAGTGAATAAACTAAATATCCACAATGAATGAACTAAACATCCATAATGAATGAACTAAATATCCATAATGAATGCACTAAATGTCCACAAATTCATAACTATATATCCACAAGTTCATAACTATATATCCACAATAATTTATAATTATATATCCACAATAATGCTGTTGAGGGGAATCAAAACTGATTTTTTTTTTTAAAATGAGACACATATTTTTAGTCAAAACGACGTCGTTTTGCATCTGTGTGCACCATGCACAGCATAACTATTGAGGAGAGATGATAAAGTCGTGTTTGGGCCTTATGAAGTCACTACTTTTGGACTTTTATCAGTGTCCCTATAAGGCCAAAATTTTTGTTAATACTGATAAATCGGCCCATATACTCAGATGCCATCATAATCATTAAATCATGCAAACGAGAAATTACTTTGTTCAAAACTTAGCCTTACATTGACGTCATGAGAAAACAAAACAATGACGTAATATTCCACAGCCTACACTTTCTAGAATCAGATTTTTATAAAGTTGGTCAAGAGACTTATAGGCTACGGAAAAACTTATGGCTGCTTTTGCCTGACATAATCAACGTTATTCGGTCTTAATATTAGTGTCATTTATTGATGTACACACATTCAAGACTAATAACCACTATTAATAAATTAAAGGTAACACTTGTGTGAGACTGTTTCGCAGGTTTTAATTTGTGAGACGGGTCAAATATTTAATTAATAAGTTGAATTTTTGATATTATTATGCAAAAATTTGACCCGTTTCAAGAATTGAGACCGTGAGACGATTTCATACAAATTTTTGTCATAATTTTAACATGAAAAAAAAAAAAGGAAAAAAAGTGTTTTCTAAGGTGGTGTTTGTAAGTGTATAATTGTTTTGGATAAGATTAAGTAAATTTGTTTTTGGTACAAGTTCTGACTCTACTATGATCTATAATTGCATCTAAATTGTGAACTAATTTAGTGTACAAAAATAAAAATTGTAAAAGTATATCTAAACTAGGTGTAACAACCATATTTTTTTGTTTGTTGACATCCAACTCCTAATAGAGATAAACTAGTTTAAGTTGTTATTTTTTTTTTAGACCATAAGATATTTGAAGCAGACTCTAACGGTAGGAGGTTAAGGGGTAAAGTACTAGCTAAATATACGAGAGGAGGTTTGAACTCCCGACCTCTCTTAAGAGCATCCTTATCAGTTGGGGTTATTAGGGGGAGAATGTAAGAGTGAGTAGGAAAGAGAATAATGTGGGAGGGGAGAGAAAAAAAAAATCAAAACAGATTTTATAAAAAAAAATATATAAAAAATAAGCATGTCATTTCTCTATTGGTTCTTTATCCTTCATCATTAATTATTTTTCTTGGGCAGAGTAATATCCCAACATTTACAGATGCTCCCCACCCCTTCTCTCTCTTGATTCTCTCTCTGCCATCATGGCATTTTGGGCTCAAAAGTAGTGAATTCTCCCATATTTAGATGCTCTAAGTAGAGTAGGAATGCACGATAACGCACGCCAACCAAGTTGGTTCTAATTTAAGTTGTTTAGATTGTCCATAAGTAACAAATGACGAATCCTAAGATATATTGTTAGGTAAGTAGTTCACTAGTCCCACTCTAGCAATTAATACGCCCGGGGAACCTACCGAGCAGGAATAATTGCTTGTGGGATGGGGGGAGGGTGTGCCTCGACGAAACAAGGGAATGAAAGGCTAATTTGCGTTGGATGCTCTTTACCCTCCCCACAATGATAGCTTTGTGCTCTTTACCCTCCCCACAATGATAGCTTTGTGCTCTTGGGAGCATTGGAACTGGCCTCTTCTCCAGAGTTCTTTTGGTCATCGAAAATAATTAATTTCGCCCAATTTTATTCCCGATTATATTTGTGTATTCCCTATCCACCCAAGCATATTTTTCATATACTTTTCTTGCTCACACGGGTTTTCAGATTGTGTGCCTAAACACAGAAAATCAAATCAGCACAGCAAAATTTTGAAAAGTGGTATTATACAACATCATGTATGCTACAGATATATATACCAAAAATAATAATAATGAAATATATTTTAGGCAAAAACTTGGATAATGCTTCGCTGTCAAATGACTACAACGTCACTGAGTTGAATGCCAATCGAGTCAACTCATTTCTCATTTTTGCCTCTTCTTTCCGGACTAGACCTGCCATGATCGCGACTCCACTGCTCCCCCAGAAACGTCTTCGCTGCATCCAAGCTCGGAAAATAAGTCGGCTCCAGAAATATTTGAGCTAGCAAGTCGCCGGAATCGGCGTTCACCAACGCCGGATTCGCCTTAGCTTCTAAGCTCCCCATAACGATCACCAAAAGCTGCCTGTAAGAGTAGTAAAACCGTTTCACCGCCATTTCGATGGCTTGAAGAGCTTGAAGCAGATGAATCTTCTCCGAGTCTTCTTTCCTCCGGTATAGCTCCATCGCCGCCTCCTGGATCCTCGGTCCGCCGTGAGGATCGACTTCTACGTCGAGAATACAGGGGACTTTGTGCCGCAGGCTCTTCGAGAGCTTCGTGATCTCCACCAGTTCTCTGGATCGGAAGCAGAAGAGCTCCGATTCGGCGACGGCTTTCACGGATAACTGATTTTTTAGACGGAGGAAATCGTCGGGATCCATTAGCAGGTGGAGGTCTTGTATTTCGGTTAAGAGTTTCCACGTCTTCTCTAGAATCCAACAATCGCTTCCGGCTTTTTCGAATTCCTTTCGATCAATCCTCTCTGAGATCCGATTTAGAAGCGACTTTGATGCGTAGATCCACGTTTCCAGTACCTGCAGCGTGGTGTAGAGCGTCTGGTTCTCGAAGTTGTGTAAATTTTGGCGCTCCGAGGGGCTTTTCTTCAGGGAGTGAAGCTCCGACGGCTTCACGATCGCGTCGTAGTCGAGGCTCGGTTTTCCGGTGAGGTTCGGTTCGCCTAATCCAACGGTGTACGAACACCGCCGCATCTCGCTTTCGATGGCGTAGAGAATCTTCTGAGCTATGTCCTCCGATTTGCGCCACGTCATCAGCCGAGGCAGCAAGCTAGCTTCGCTCGTGTGGCTCACAACCGTCGTTTCGCCGGAGAGCTTCCACACCTCAGCCGAGCTGTTCTCACGTGACAACACCACGTCCGACGACGTCAGATCGACAATCGGAGCCGCGCCACGCGTCTCTCCATCATCCTCACACAACATAGCAATAATCTCAACCTGACTCCGAGCAAGCGACTCCAACCGCCGCTTCCACTCCCGCCGGTTCGCGTACGGTCTAGGATCCGACAACACCACAGAAACGAACCGGAAAGTTATCTCCAACCCTTGCAGAGCCGGCGTGAGCAGCGCCTCGTTCTTCCACCCCGGAAACTCATCACAACTCCACAGCTTCCTCAGCTCCGGCAGCCTCAAGTAGTACTCATAAGCGGAACAAGCCGAGTCACTCGCCGTGGTCAACTCCCACACACGCGCCGGCGGCGCCGGTATAGAAATCTGATGCTGCTTATTCGAAATCCTAGGCGACGACTTACTGGACATATCAGGTGAAACCATCTCCGTCTTCCGATCAAAATCCAGCATTTTTCATAAAACCAAAGCAATCAAATCAACAAAGAATGCAAGAACAAATATTCAATATTCAAAAAATAAATAAATAAAGAAATCCTTTACTTTGAGGATAACGTTGGGATAGAAAGGCGTATTTATAGCGGGGGATGAGGGGGATGAACTGTGGAAAGGCGTGTGGGAAGGGAAAATAGCGGATTGAAGGAATTCAAAGACGCGGATAAATATTTAATTTAATAATTATTTAATCTAAAATATGATAACTTAGGGAGAAAAAGAAATAAAAAGGAAAAAAATAAATAAAAACGTGAAGCTTATCCGGAAAAGGATACGCCTAACGCAATAGTTAAGGTTCAATTCAAAATTGTTGGAATTTGTAGAACGGTCGTGCCATGCTCTCTTGTCAATTAATATAAAAGCCGCCCATGATATATCACTCAAACAACATGCCACGTTTCTCGACAAAGTTAAGTGTGAAAGCTTTCTACACATTTAAATCCGATGATGATGGGATTGAGATGATAACAATTCAAATTTAGATATATTATCTTGAAGTAAATCTTCTTATCCCAATCTTGAGTAAATCTCTATTTATATTGGTTAACTAGTTACCTATTACGTGAATAGTTTGTCTGATGTTAATATGTACTTTTAAACTAGTGTTTCAGAATTTATCAAAGTATTATTCAGTATCTCTGATGTATATTAATGTAAGATTATTAATTTTTCCATAAAAATAAATATTTCAAGAATGTATGATTATGACTTGTGACAAAAATGTTGAATTAACGGGTGCAATAACAATTTTAGAGGGAAACACTCTCATTGGATAGCATCCTAACCACATTTTTTTGCAAACACAAAACCCTATTAATTGACGTGATCCATGATTCCTCTTGTTGTCACTTCTACTAGAAATGAATTCTTTATTTGATCTAGTCTCCTGGTGTGCTTCACTGTAATTTTAGTGTCTTAACGCAGTGCACCTTCGAAAATATGACCAAATCCTCCTTCCCCAAAAAAGACGATAATAGTCGTAGTTTCTCATATGTGTTGAATATATACTGTAAATTAGGTGTATTGTTTCATCAATGCCTCATGCGTGATTCTAATTAATTGACCAAAGTTCATGTTAATTCTTATATTGTATTTTTTTAATACATCTAATATATTCATAGTATATGTTTAACAATGATGTCTATTTTGATTGGGATGCGGTTCGAACGAGTAAGTTAAAAATAATAAATAGTTAACGAAATATTCCGTTACTAAAGTTTACACTGACGGAATACAATAGTATTTATGAAAAGTAAATGATATAATATAGGATAAATAGGAAAAAAAATACTAAAATCAAAAAAATATGAATCATTCATTTCAACAAACAATTACACCATCATTTAATTCTTGTTAGGTGACTGACTTTATTTTTATTAGATTTGTAGATTTAAAAAATTATATACAAGTAATAAATTGTGAAATGTGATTATTCATGGGTTGAATATAATTAATTAATTGGTATATTATTCAATTTCGGTCCAAGCTCAATACACTATGAAATCTTATTTACTAAAAGTACATTTGGAACATATTGAATTGATTTTAGGGGATCATATTTATTATTTTGAAAAATTACTTCCCCTTAAAATATTGGCCATGTTTAGTCAAATAATAAGTCTATCAGTTAATTTTAACTTATTTGACCACTATTAATTGTTTGAATTGAGTAAAATAATCAATGAATGTTTGATTCATTAGTTTTTTTGTTTTTTTTTTTTAACAACTTGTTGTTCTAAAATACTAAAATTTAAAAAACTGTTCAAAGTAGTTTTTTCGATTAACTTTTTGAGAAAGTCATTTTGCATGTAATCAGTTATCAGCTAACAAACTAATTTATCAAACACTTTTCTACAATAAGCTAATACTATTAACTAGTCAAACCTACTAACACAATCAACTAATAACTATTTACCAAACACTCCCATTATCTTGTAATTAATTTTCTCGTTGTAAAGGATCTGCTTTATGATCCTTAATTAGTAGTTTGAGCAATATGAATACCCTAAAAAAGGATTTGTAATGGACACGTTCCTCTCTTTACATACTCTCAAACCAATAATAACTTCCAATTTTATGAGACCGTTTAAAATTATATACTTTTTTTTTTTGACGATTTTATTGGTTAGTCATCGACTACTTAGGTCTAAAACCAACAGTGGCATATAAGATAGAAATCACCATTTAGAAGAGTTCATTTATACTCTAAATTCATCATAAAGTAATTGATGAATGCCAATATATTATGATAAATAATTTTTTTTTGAAAGTTTATGATAAATAATTTTATAGTGCTAATATGAATAAAACGAATTCCACTAAATCTTGAATATATTGTGTAACTATACATAATTTATTAGCCTGTTTTGAAGCTACTCATTTTACAATAGTCAATAAGTATCAAACATTTATGACACCTATCACATTATTGTGTATAATAATTGGTGAAAAAATTGGTTTAAAAAGCATTTAATCTAAAAACATAATAAATCACCATTCTGGTTATATCTTTGAGTTATAGATGTATGTTTTTTCTGTTAATTGTTTTAATATATATGGAAAAGGAAATGGCCAGATCATTACTTTTTAATTTTTCACTATAATATTACACAGTATAATAAATCAAATCACAATTATATCATAAATATTTCACAAATTTAAACAATGGAACAAAAATTAAAAATAGAACGAAAATATTTCAATAATGATATTCTACATCATCAAGTAAAGGTAAATTTAAAATGAAAAAAAAAATATTTCAATAAGAATATTCTACATCATCAATAGTAAAGGCATATTTTAAACAATAGCAAAGGTAAATTAAAAATAGAACGAAAATTAAAAATAGAATAAAAATATTTCAATAATAATATTCTACATCAGTTAAAAATGGAATGAAAATTATGTAAAAATATCAGTGCATCTGATTTCTAATTGACTCATTGACTGAAAAAAGAAAAAATAATTGGCTAAAAATGAATATGATATTACTAATTGTCTGAAAATATAAAAAGATTGACTACAAATAAAAATTATTCATAATTGACTAAAGTGAAAAAAAAATGGTCAGATCATTTTAATTAAAAATTGGATGGAAATCTATATATATATAAAAGTAAAATCCTCCTAGCCAAGTTTTCCCCCCAAAACTTAGGGTCATTTAAGTAATATCAATATATTAATTAATTATGGAAAGAATATTATGGTAATATAAACTAATTAATTATGAAATATTCCTATAATATTGATTATGAAATGTTCTTCACCAACGTTCGTTGGTCACTAATTAATTATACCTATCATACTGCATAGTGCATATATTATATATAACTATGCATATATTATATATTATTATATATAAAATTACGATTATAAATATGTATGGAATATTCCGTCAGAATAACAAACATTATGGTAATATAATTATGGAAATTATATATTATTGTAGTCCTTTTAATTGTCTATATATATATAAAAGTATAAAATCCTCCTAGCTAAGTTTTCCCCCAAAATTTAGAGGCATTTTTGTAATATCAAATATTTAGACAAATATGGCATTTTAATAATATTAAAGATTTTACCTTTCTTGAGATCTCTTACCATTTTATAATTTTAATACTAAACCCTTTTGATCTCATCCATTGTGTATAAATACACCTTATATGACCATACACAACCCCAACTAAGGTTAATTATTTTATTGATTTTTGCTAATCATCATGTGATCTTCCACAGTTGAGGTTGATACGTGATTTGCACTGGTGAGGTTTTCATTATCTTAGTTTCTTTAATTTTTTTTTTCTTTTTGGGTTTTGTTTTGTTTTTATTCTTTTGTATTTTCTGATTTTTAAACAACAAAAGTGGTTCGTAAGAAAAAATGTTGATATATTCTTTTCTTTTTTTTGTCTATTTTTGTAGAGAAGATACGGATCTAGAAAGATTGATCGGGAAGCAATAGACTTCTAATCATCCTGTGATCTTCCACAGTTGAGGTTGATACATGATTTGCACTGGTGAGGTTTTCATTATCTTAGTTTCTTTTTTTTTTTTTTTTTTTTTCTTTTTGGGTTTTGTTTTGTTTTTATTTTTTTGTATTTTTTGATTTTTAAACAACAAAAGTGGTTCGTAAGAAAAAATGTTGATATATTCTTTTTTTTTTGGTCTATTTTTGTGGAGAAGATACTATACGGATCTAGAAAGATTGACCGGGAAGCAATAGACTTCTAATCATCATGTGATCTTCCACAGTTGAGGTTGATACGTGATTTACATTGGTGAGGTTTTCATCATCTTAGTTTCTTTTATTTTTTCTTCTTTTTGGGTTTTGTTTTGTTTTTATTTTTTTTGTATTTTATGGTTTTTAAACAACAAAAGTGGTTCATAAGAAAAAATGTTGATATATATTTTTTTTGTCTTTTTTTTTTTTTTTTTTTTTTGTGGAGAAGGTACAGATCTAGAAAGATTGATCGGGAAGCAAAAGAGTTCCTTGCTCATCAAGATGATAATGTTTTGTGATCGAGGGACGAATTATGTATATATATAAATATATATAGACTTATAGAGGGAACCATACTAAGAATACAATAAAAACCAAAATGAAATTAAAAGCATTTTTTAGTTGTCAATATATCAAAGCATTGGACTTTGTTTCGATTCAATTTCTCCGTTTTTAAAGTGTACATTTTTTGTAATAAGAGAGTAGTTTGTCTTTCCCCTCAAGACGTTTTTCTTGCCATTTAATTTTATTTTTTTTTAGGAAAAAAATGATTAAGTACTGTGGCTTTTTTTTCAATAGAGTATTATTTTGATTTTATTCTTCATCTGACATTCCTTGATATAAAATCACTTTACTAATGTAAAATAATGTTATTGACTTACCATGTTTGCTTCGATATGCTAAGCCATTTAAAATTTAATACGGAGTAAAATTTATAATTGTAATACTTCCGTAATAATATTGAATAAATATTAATCATATGTTTAGATTTAATAATATATTATATTAAAAGAATTATTTATTAACTTAATATAGTGATGGTTAATACGGGTAAACCATA